ACATCAAACTCTTATTTCTGTCTTGCTGTATGCTACATACTCTGACTGGCAACAGCTCCTTGGGATTTCAGAAGAATTTTTTTGCCAGTTACTTTCTCCTTGGGATTCTTTTGCATTGAAATATAAGAAAATTGCCTTGTCTTTATGTCAGTCCCAAGTATTCCCTGTTTGAGTTAACCCCATAATTTTAGTATGTGTCAAAAATCATGGCAGAGATCCTCTGTCAGTTCCAGTGTGGTACCTGTGTCACTGGGCTGTCTCAGTCAACTGGGACCCATTCACATATGGCCATATACAGGACTCCACAAGGTATGGTCAAAAAAGTCAAGAGTTGCAGTGGTATGATCGAAGCTCTGTCAGGTTTTTAGTGTGTTGGTTTTTTTTATGTGAGTGACACACAGACAGACTGGTGGAACTTCAATCACACCATTGCAGCCACCATCTTAGTTTTTTTGACCGCATCCTGCAGACATCCCTAGCCAAATAAATAAGTGACTGTTTTCTACTACCAGAACAGCCCTGGAAACATAAGGAGACTTAAGTTTCCTTTTCATACTGGTTATCTGACTGGAAAGGCATTGTGAATTTTGACAAGCCCAGGACAGTGTAACAGTGTGAACATCCTATGTTTTGATGCAACCCAGAAGTGAGCTTTGGTTCCTTCAACATTGTCTTCTGCATTGGTTTTCAACATAGCTACCAGTGAAAATAAGTTCTGTAAATGTGGAAAACAAATAGATGTGGGATTTTAATATTGCATATCGTGCTATAAGTCAAATGACCATCAGTTTGAGATGCCTTTGGACAAATTTAAATGTACAACCTGAGAAGAATGATCAAAGCAGTTGCCATAAAGAGATCATTTACATCTGTAGACCTTTGCTCTGAAACAGCAGTGACCTTATAGCGGAGTTAATTAAAAGACAAATGGATATTTTAACTTGAAACATCCCAATTTGTTTTAAAGTTATTTTTGCTGCTGAGAATTTTGAACATGAATATCTAGAGCAATAACTATCTGCCTAGATTCTTCTCCTCCCCTTTAAATTTTCTGATTACAGGAGCAAGTTGCATTTTCCTGCTTTTTCCTTAGCATACAGGTAGTCCTCAACTTATGACCATTCTTTTAGTGGCCGTTTGAAGTTATGAGGGCACTGAAAAAGGTGACGACTGGTCCTCGCACTTACAACCATTGCAGCATCCTCGCAGTGATGTGATCAGAATTTGGGTGCTTTGCAACCAGCATGTATTTATGACAGTTGCAGTATCCCAGGGTCACGTGATCACTGTTTGTAACCTTCGCAGCCAGCTTCCAACAAGCAAAATCAGTGGGGAACCACGTGATTCACTTACCGACCATGTGATTCCCTTGACAACCGCCACAAAAAAATGTTATAAAATTGGGTGCAGTCACATGACATCTCACTTAATAACTGTACCACTTAACAACAAATTTTCTGGCCCCTGTTATAGTTGTAAGTCGAGGACTACCTGTATTGGTGATGCCGCTTTTCATTTTGTGACAACAAAGTTTCCCCTCTCCATTTTTCTAGGCTGTGTGATTGCAATTCATCAATTTAATGAGGAGTTGTTCACTATCAGTGTCCCGCCATAATGTCTTAGAAGTGTGAACTCCTTTTATAATTTATTTTAAGTATGATACTTTGATTAAAAGACATTCTAGAAAGTATAAACATGAAATCATAGAATTGTGGAGTTGGAAGGGAACACAAGAATTCCCGAATCTGAATCTTTACAATGTGCAAAAGAATCAGTGAATTAGCTTCTTTGTAAAAACCTCCAAAAATTACTAGTTTATTATTATTCCTGTTGAAAGATTCAGCTTATGTGATTCCAACAACCAATGGAAAGAGCAAAATAGTGGATGATTATTTTTCTTTCTTTATTATATTTTTATTTGGTCTCTCCTTCAAAAAGATTTCAGATTACTTCCAAAACAAATAAATTAAAAACATTGCAATTTATTGATATATGCTGATGGCTGCAAGGACAAATTTGGCTCAACATTAGAAAAGTGTCACTTTGCCAACAATATCAGACTGGGAAACCAAATGGCAAAATTAACAATATACATCCGGAACAGAAATTTGACTGAATTTAAGCAAGAATGGTTTCCCTATATATCATGGGTCACACAACAAGGTAAACCCAGAAACTTAGAATATGGTTTTTAAGGGGGAAACAATTGATGTAAAGACCGTAATTAGAAGCAAATTCAGTACTTATAAATATTTTGATGCAATCACCAGTCAGGTACAATAGGAGGGAATTTAGAACTCAATATTGCTTTTACTAATTTTTCTCCTTTTTAAAAATATTTTTAATTCTTTAAAATGTTTTTCCCTTTCTTATTCCTTTTCTTTCCTTTTACATGATTATGTGCATTTCTTTTTAGAATAATGACAAATAGTGGTAGTATCAATGTTCATATTAATGTTTAGAGCTTTATAAAGATTTTTACTCATTTCTTAAGAGGATGTAACGAACCTAGTTCTATAGATTTAGTTAATTAATTAACAAAACAAGGAGATTATTTTATGATAATTGAACATTCTTTTGTTTATTTACTGATATTTTGTTCTTCATCCACTATGTCTTTTTCCACTTTTTTTTTCTTTTATGTAATTATTTGTTCTTTAAACGTTTTAAACAAATAAATTATTGGTTGCCATACATGCATACTCCCCCAGTTCCCCCAGAGCAACAAAGCAGAGTTCAGAATTGTCTTGACACCTTTGTAGATATAAACTGATACTTTCAGAGATCAGAAAATTTCTCCTTTCAAAGGTAAGGGGACACAGCAATTATTGGAAGCTCTTTGGAACATTCTGCCCCCGGAGGTGCGATTGGCCCCCTTACTCCTGGCCTTCCGAAGGGCCTTGAAGACCTGGTTCTGCTACTTGGCCTGGGGCGGGGAGGGAATACTTCAAGCAGGGGGATGGCTAGT